CTGAAAACATCAAATACATGGAATTATGTAGCAAAAAACAGAAAAATAATTCTAAATATGTTTTATATGTTAGATTCCTGGAAATAGCCGCCCTTTCCTTTGTTGACAGCGCTGCAAACTCTTGGCCTTTTCTCAGTGAGCTTCATGATGTAGTCACCTTAAATGGTTTTCACTCACAGGTGTACGTTTGCCAGAGTTCAAACGTTACGTTGCAACTGGTTCACATGAGCACCGCCCCAAGAGCAAGAGTCACCTCTGCCGCTAAGGATAAATTCATCTGAGTTACCTCAGAAATCACAAGTTAACAGCACCTCAGATTAGAGCCCAGATAAATGCCACACAGAGTTCCAGGAGTAGACACATCTCTACATCAACTGTTAAGAGGAGACTGTGTGAATCAGGCCTTTATGGTCAAATAGCTGCTAAGAAACTACTACTAAGGAAAAACAACAAGTAGAAGAGATTTGTTTGGGCCAAGAAACACAAGGAATGGGCATCAGACCAGTGGAAACATGTGCCTTGGTCTGTTGACTCTAAATGTAAGATCTTTGGTTTCACTCGCCGTGTCTTTGTGTGACGCAGAAAAAGTGAATGGTCTCTACATGCATGGTTCCCACCGAGAAGCATGGAGGAGGAGGTGTGATGGTGTGGGGGTGCTTTGCTGGTGACACTGTTGGAGATTTATTCAAACACCTCCAGGCTGTGTAAGGGCTGTTTGACGAAGAAGGAGAGCAATGGAGTGCTGCACCAGATGGTCTGGCCTCCACAATCACCTGACCTGAACCCAGTGGAGATGGTTTGGGATGAGACTGACTGCAGAGTGAATGCAAAAGAACCAACGAGTGCTCCGCATCTCTGGGAACTCCTTCAGGTCTGTTGGAGAACCATTTCAGGTGAAATGGCATTCAGCTCAACGAGAAAATTCCAAGCTTGTGCAAAGCAGTAATGTGCTTTCATAGTTTTGATGCCTACAATTTAAATACTCATGAAAATAAAGAAAAAAAACATTAAATGAGAAGGTGTTTTCACATTTTAGACTGGTAGGGTATGTTGGTATATGTTCCGCTGGCACAGAATATTTATGTTTTGTGCACTGTATAAAAACAGTGGACGTCTTTTAATTATTTCCACACATTTATATCGTTTTTACTCAGTGTGCATTGGTGTGTTTCTTGAGGCTTTATTTTAACTCCAATTTAAAGAGGAAGTTTGTGTCACGGTCTCTGTAAAATGAGCTTTTGTGCAAATTATGCAGGGTGAGAGTTTTAATGCAGACAGTTGATTCTGCTCATCTGAGCGCAGCATTTTCAGTTGGCTGGAGAAACCTGCAGACGGCCGACTTCTTCTGTCTGCGGGGACCGAAGAGGTCACCTGGACGAGCGAGAACACGTTTCTCCCACTGGAAACACTGAGCCCTGACAAACAGAGTATCTGCAGCACGCAAGGTGAGCATATCCATTCAGAAGACTTGCAATACATGCTTGTTTCTTGTTGCTCATACAGACAAGTGGCAAATTAAAGGAAAAAACCAGAACCACTGAACCCTACAGAGGGGGAACTCGCTGTAGGCCCCTGCAGTGGTGATCCACTTCAAATCAATACAAAGTTATGCAGAAACATCAGCTTAATGATTAAATATTTTTGTCCTGGTGGGAGTGGGCTCTTCCATGATGACATATCCCCAACCACTGAAAAGTCTTAAGAGGGTGAAAATGATGCAAACCACACGCTGTAGCCTTTGCCACAGTATGCGACTCAATCTGATCTCAATCTAATTGATCACTAATCCATGTGGGACTTTGCCCTCGACCATTATCATCAAAAAAAACAGATAAGGGAAAACATTTTTTTTTACAGTAAATATGGTCTTGCCCAAATCAGAGATTTAGAGAGTCGCTGCCAAACAGCACTAATGGTGTTTGTGGAGGCTCAACGCTTCATTTCAAACACTTCATTCTGGTTCTTCCATTCATTTGCCACTGGTTAGTGTGCCATGAAAAACAGCTGGTTGGTTTCTATCAGCAGGTTGAAGTCCAGATGTGGTGTGTGTCCTGAAAAGTCAATAAATGATGTTGATCGCAATGCTTCTTTGTGGCGCTGAGGCCTTGGACTCAGTCAGGTCCTTCCTGTGTGATCTTTTGTGCTGAGCTGGAGTTGTTCTTGTAAGAGGTCTGTTTGTTTGCCTAAAAGACAAAGCGTGATGTATTTTCATACAGTAACATTTACATGAATTATCTATTCTCGGTTCAACAGGACTCTCACCTGGAGGCTCCGGCTGCTGGAGTTGTTCTCATCCCGCTGGCACAGCAGATGTCGTGGTGCTTCATCGGGGCTGCTGCCTGAGCTACGCACATCTCCCAAATTCAAAAACAGAATTTTGGACATCAGACAAGTCACAGACAAGCACGTGCTCCTCAGTACAGACCAGCCGTTTAACATGAAGGACGGGATTTGTCCCACTAAACACGGAGGGGACGTCACGGACAGCTTCAGGACGCTCGCAGAGATTTCACTCGTGTCTTTAACCAAAGCGCTTTTGCGGATGTGTGCAGGATCTTTAATCTGAATTATTTTAGAGCATTTATTATTTCCAGACAGTCTGCTCGCTAGTACGCGCACCAGCGCAGGCGCAGCTGAGTGCGCGTGCGCTGGAGATTGCGAAAGTTTTGGGTAACGTAATCCACTCACTTCCCTGGAAACTTTACCCCCCACTCTGTCCGACCTGTACGAAACAATCAGCCTTCTTCCCACCAGGACCACCACACACTCTCCGTGTGGAGAAGCCTCCGCCGCTGACGCCTGGTGTGAGCCGCTGCGCTCGCCCGGAGAGTCGCGCAGCGCCCCGCCGGCCAGTCCTAGGCCGTACGCCGAGCTGGCAGGCCGCTTGGCCGGCGGATTCCTCGTCCAGATATTCCCCCGGCACCGGAGAACAGCGGACAGGGCAGAGGCCGAGGGGGTGGAAGCCATGGTGATCGGTAGCGTCCACGTCTCTCCTCCTTAACGCCAGCCTCCGTCTAAACACTCACATAACCTTCAGAGGTTTATTTGCGTAAGGAGCGGGTCAGAGGAGGGTGGGGGGTTTCTTCTAGTCTGGTCCACGCGACTATATTTGCCTCGACTGTGACAGTGGGGGGTTCGTGTGGGTGTGTCTTTAGGCCAGAGCAGAACAAGCAGCTACTTTACACCCCGGAGTGGAAACACTGGATGAAAATGAGACAGATTTAGCAGGTACTCGGATGCAGAGGGACTGGGAGACAAATGCAGTTTAGGTTTTTGAAGTAAATCAAAAATGGGCACAGTTGCCCCGAGTGATCGATTTATACGATCTATTTCTTCTCCTAAAAATAAAAAAGTAGTAGTGTGACACTCGAAGATCTGAGAACCGGTCACAGGGGGCATCGCGGGTCACAAAATTCTACATGAATAAAAACTTCTGTTAATAAATAAAAAGTGACTCTGAAGAAACGCACAAAACAGCAATAAACAAGTTTCACCTACTGAATATTCTTTTTTCTCTTTTCGTTTATCATTTCCATTTAATGTGGAAATAGTATAGTTTGCACTTCAATTTCATTTCAGTTAATTTCCAAAATGAATTCGATTCTTTTATTTAACATGTTTAAATGCTTTTTTTTTTTTTAAACTAATGTAAAGTTTTTCCAGACTAACCTTTGGTCGTTACGTTCGTTATAGTGACCTTGGTCAGGACAATTACATAATAGTTGGAGCTGGACAATGAATACAAACATAAACGCAAACATTTATTGAGAGCACTTCCTGAAGGGGGCGCTACAGGTTAAGCTAAAATGCCCTCAAAAAAGATTTTATAAAGATTTCTGTACTGTGTAAACTTTATTGTCCTACTTTTTTAAAAAGCAATTCATACCGTTTCTGTAGTGCTGTTGTATAATGTTACAAAGGTTTGAGTAAGCTGAGCCCACACAGTCCTTGCTGTAAGCTTTTCAGGATTTAGGCTGGAGTGACATTTCTATTAGACTCAGCACATGTTGTTGTGTTTTTCCCTTTGTTTATCAGATTTAATACAGTTCATTTCTGATGAAGTGATGATTTTAAATATTTGTTAAATCCAGACAGTTTAAAGTGGTCTTTGCCATTGGAAATAGCTGGATACTGTTAAGACATGGTTTACAGGAAAGACGGGGTACAGGTTTTTAAGTATTTCTCTTTTTCATGTGTCAGATGTTATGACCCAGAATGGACACCATTACTATTTTAACTACACCCCTCTGGGACGTTGCCCAGTGTCCCCCAGGAGGAGCTCTGGGTGAGTGGACGCTCAGTGGGTTAAAGGTCAACACTGATCCTCCTGGTCAGTTATGAGTCTCTCTTGAAACCCCTGACTAAGTCGATACCTTACAGCTTATCGCCGGGGTGGTACCCTCTAAAGTGTGACTGTTTCTGGTTTGTACTTTACAGAAAGAAGTTTTGAACTTTTACTTTTAAAATCATTCGTTGCAAATATACATAAGAGTCACAGAATGAAACCTGTCACACTGACTCAAGAGAAATGTCTGTGGTTTTGTACAAAAGACTCACCTGCAATTCTTAACACCGGAATTTTTAATTCCCTGTTGCCCTGTACGAACATTTCCCATCTGACATCACTCACTTCTTTACTTCTTACTGCTGAAGTTAAAAAGCCTGATCCTGAAACAGGCCATCAAATTAAAGTTTTCCATGTGCTGATTTTAAATGTTTTTTCACTCACTGCTTGTTGCACACATTCCTGATCCACCCTACATCAAAGTGATGGATGACATGCTGCAACTGATCCTCCCCAATCAGCCAGAAAAATGCCACAAAGGGCGTGACGCCCGTGTTTGTCAAACAGGCTTGTCATCCTAAAAATCCCGATATGCACAGCTGAGAGGAAGTTGCTCAATCCACCCTGTTAGCAGGTGTGTTTACACGGTTAAAGGGGATCAGGTGTCTAAATGAAGCATGAGGGCTTCTGAAAAGAAATAAGCAGCAGGTGTGTATCAGTAGAGGACAATCTCAAATATGCCTTTATTTGATGGATATGTTGAGAAATACTTGCAAATATATAAATCATCTGTGGCATCTGTATGTACAATGGGTTTGGACTATAAACAAAATTAGTTAAGAACTATAAACTCTGGTTTGCGAGATCAGCGTTCAATCCAGAGATCTTCCCAACCTTTCATCACAGAGTGTAGTGCATTTCAACATTTACAGCTTACTTGATCTGTGCACAAGGTTCCTTTATTGTGTTCAACCGCTCTCACGGTGAACACAAACACCTTCAGAAAAGAATAAAAACAGGAAACACATCAGTCCCTTTTCCTTCATGTGCACCTGCCAGTTCTTTTGTTTTTAAAAAAATGTTGCTCTCCTGGTTTTCCTTCATTTCTCCACGTGACCCAAGCTTGAAGGAGCTCAGTTTGTACTTCATTATAAACACAAGGTGTGCAAAGTGGAACAAGGGTCACTGGAAGTTTTGTGTGATTCTCTCTCCTTGTCCACTTCATCTCCCCAACCATCACCCTCCACAGTCCTGTCCTTGACATGGACGCATCTCTAGTTCATGGATTTTGCTGTGAAGTGTTGTTTGATTGTGGACGTGGGGGATGAACGTTGTTCAAGGACACAGTGGGTATGATCACAAAAGCCAGAATTCCCACCAGCATGAGCGCCACAGTGATGGTGATGATGGTCGCAACCACTGCGTAGTAGCACTGATCTGAACGGAACATCCTGCGCAGGCGACCTCTCATCCTGCTCGGAGGTCTGCCTACATCCACCACAGTGGTCGGGGTGATCCCCTGCTCCATTGCACTTAGCTGGAGGTTCCTGCTTGGTGCCGCCTGAGTGTCTTGACTCTTGGTAGGCAGACTGAAGACATTAGGCCTGCTCGGGCTGTTGGGAGGAGGGTTCTTCAGCATCAGCTTACCCTGGCTGCGCTTAAAGCGGATGGACAGCGCCCGCTGCATATCTGAAGGGAGTTTGCTGATGATGTCCCGATTGTTTCCCAGACGGGGCAGGTCCCGGCCGCGAGGGAGCTCAGTCACCTCTCGGCACACGGGGCAGGACAGGGTCTTGAGCTCAGGTGAGGTGACGTTGATGCGAGCCAGGCACTCCAGACAGAAGGTGTGCCCGCATGCCAGCAGCTTTGGGGTCTTGAAGACATTATCGTAAGTGCAGAAGCACACAGCGCACTCTGTGTCCTCCACGTCATTTTCAGGGGGTTTCATCCTTCTCCGATCGCTCTCTCCGTCTCTCTGGCGCCGCCCACGGCCCTCCTCGCTCCTTCCACGATGCCTCCTTTCTCCACGGTTCCTGTCTGACTCTCTTCTCCTCCCTCTTTCTGTCCTCTCAGAGTCAGAACTCCTCGATCTCCTCACTCTTAATGATTTCTCTTTTTTCCGGTGCTCCTCCTTGCTGTTCCTGTCATTCTGTCCGAGTTTGGGTTTGACGTTAGGGGCCTGGGGCTGCCTGGCTCCATGGCTCTCTTCGGCCCTGCTGTTTCCCTCCCCACCATCACTCATACTGGAGTGATGTCAGAGGTAAAGTGCCGTCTGGAATTCGACTCCTACCAGTTTCCCAACAGCTGCTGTGGAAAATTAAACCTCAGATGAGTTTATTGGCTCCCAAAATCAAGCAGAGCAGGAAGTAAGCCACAGGAATTTACCTGCAGTCACCACTGCTGCTTCACGGTGATGAAGCAAGAACGCCTAATCGCTGGCTGACATCTCGATTGTATTGAAATGCTGTTGTTATTCAACATGTATGTGCTGCTTTAGTCTTGACAATTGATAAGTTGCTATATTTGTTTAGTAGGTTTTCCTGCACAGAAATTGTGAGGAAACATGAGCCGGGAGTGCGCCAAGTGGAGGCTGGACTTCTGAGAAGCAAAACTGGGATTTCTTTGTAACGCTGCAGCAAATTTTCATTGTACCCAGTGAATTTACTTTTTTTAAAAAGTTTTAACACCAACAAGAGGCTCAGAATTCACATTGTTCACATTTGTTTAAAAAAAAGCAGCGCAGACATGTTGGCAAAGTTGCAAGAATTCCCACTTCAGACTTTTTATGATTTCATGACTTTTGAATGGAAGCTGGTAAGTAAAAAAGAAAAAAGAATTTGTGCACACTGACCTGTGAGGTAGATGACTGCCGGATCAGTTCGTCAGAGTTGATCTGACATGTAATCCAGTCGTGTCAGTGCAGTCAACACTGCTCATGACTAAACGTCATAACTAAAAACAGTGATTGTTTTGAGCTCCCTGCTTCCCTCTTCTGTTCTTATCTTTGCTCTTATATCTACTTTTCTAATTGAGGACTCAGCATTGTCTCCTCCTCCTCTGAACCCTCCCCCCTTTGCCACACTTCCTCCCGCCCTCCTTTTTCTCGTCAGACCAGTTCAACCAGCTGCTATTGTTTTCATTCGTTTCTCTCTCTGTGGACTTTATAGATACTTTAGTTATTTACTTAAATGACCCCATGTGGCCACTCACACTGAAAGAAGATGCATGAAAATGACATTGCACCCCAGAGAATCATACTAATGTCTCCCTCGTGTGCAGACTAACCCCGTGTCACATATCAGATCAGGTACCTGTAGCATCACATGATAGAAGCACGTCTTGTCTCGCTGTTTCTGATTCTTAGTGTGATACAAGTCATGACAGACAACAGTCACCGCCAGGAAAATTCCACTCTGGCTCCATAAAGAGGATGACAATGCATCTTTGTGAACATACAGCATATCAGCATGTCATATTTGTCATTCCTCTGCCACAGTCTTGTCACTTCATGGTTTTACAACTCAAACAAGATCAGCTACATAGCTTTTCCTCACTCCACAGGCCCGCAGGTACTCACTCTGTGCCTGAGAGCCACACAGCTCGAGACAATAACTACACCAGATTCAAGTCTTTGACATTAAATGCTCAGGATTTTCTATGAGTCTGTTGTGGCCAGTGCAACCCTCTACGCCGTTGCATGCTGGGGGGAGTAGATTGAGGGTTGCTGATACTAACAGACTCAAACTGATCTGCAAGGCCAGCAATGTTGTAGGGATGGAGCTGGACTCTCTTGAGGTGGTCTCGGAGAGGCGAATGTTGTCCAAGATAAAGACAATGTTGGATAATTCCTCCCACCCACTCCATGACGTGCTGGCCAGTCACAGGAGCACGTTCAGTGAGAGACTGAGATGACCAAAAAGCACCACTGACCGACACAGGAACTCATTCCTGCCTGTGGCTCCCTGTACAACTTAACACACTGTTTACTGCAATAGCTGCACCCTTTTGCACATCATGCTCTTCTTTCTTATTCAGCTATTTATCAATAAGTGACTTATATGTATGTATATATTGTGCCATTTCTTACTTCGTGTATTGTCTGTCTTTGTTACTGTTTGTACTGGAGCACTGTAACCAAAATATTTTCCCTTATGGATCAATAAACTACTCTGAGTCTGAAGATTAACAGTGCAGCACAACTGCACATCGTAGAGTTGTGTTTGTCAAACAGCTCAACAATCTTCTGAAAATACGTCACGCTTTATATAATAAAAACATGAACGCACATAAAAGTCAGCATTCCTTTGCCAGGTTTTGGCTTAAACAATCAAATAAAATACGCCCCTTACAAACCAGAGGCCTTTCTGACATTAAAACTTCTTCTTCCGATTGTGACTTTCCTGAAAATAAAACCAGACGAGCAAACAAGTTGAAAAGGCTGCAAATACTACTGCGATGAGTAATTATTAAGCTGAAAAACAAATCGATTGTAAAACTTTATTGCCATAGAAAAAAAGAAAAGGAAAGGAGCCTCACACGTGAGCGTGCTTTAATCGGGTGCCAGCTGTGACAGTTTGACACAGAGCGAATAAGCGAGCGGTCAAAGCATAACAGTCTCGTGCCGATTCACAAACCAGCTGGTGAGTCCGCACTGCTGCCATCAGAGCGGGAAACACAGATCCAAGCGTGTTCGTTTTTCCTTTTTGGAGACCCAGCCCTGCCGGCTGGTTGATGATTAAACCAGAGTCGGTGCGTGGCCCACTTCTCACTCGACCTTTCTCTCTTTCCGTTTTGAAAATAGAAACTTGTTTGAAAATACTGGTGTGATTTGAATAATGCGGGTCAAATTTCGATCGCTGTCAAAAAACAAGTTACAGCTTAGAAACATGGTACGTTTTCCATTTTCACTCAGACTCGTGCGCCTCGTCCTGTCACCCTGTCCTGAGTGAGAAGCACTTTTTTTTCATGGTATGTGCCGTGGACGGCCTTGACCTTCACTTCAGCCCAGCTCCTCTTTTGTTTTGCCCTGCTTACGGGGCATCTTCTTGCTGCTGCTGTCCTCCAGCTCTTTGCTCTTGTAGTAGTGAGGGGCCACTTCAAGCAGCCAGCCGCTCTCTATCTCGATCACCTGAGTGCAACAGAGGACAGAAGGCGAGTGGAGGTTAATCAGTGGACTGATACGCAGCCATGCCTGTAGTTAAATATTGTTCTGAAACACTGACACATCCTCATTAACCACTCGTACTAAACTCAAAGAAGGGTGCAGCTGGCTCCTTTAGATCTGAAACAAGAGAAAGGCTCATGCTGTGAAAAACAACAGAAAGTGCTGCAAACATTTGAGTTAGACGCCTGTTGGGAATAAAACAGCCACGGAAAAGACGACTACATGCTCGTTCTGAGATTTTGTGTACAGTCATCTGGCTCTTAGCAAGTTCTAAAATTATTTAAACAGCCTGAAATGGACAACAGCATGGCACATTACACTGTGTTACTATTCATTTTACAAAACTTAGCATTTAAAATGCATTAGCAGTGTGAAAACGTACAACCCTACTGCAGCCAGGTGCCACTAATCAAATACACTTGATTAACCGATCATTATTTACCAGCTGAGAGTCGCTGATATGTAAAAGCTTATAACTGAAAAAGTAAAACTGTATGACATGGCGAGCAGGCCAACCTGTCTCATGAACTCCTTGGTGGTGAAGACCAGCTCATGGTAGATGAGCCAGCGGGGCTGCTCCTCAAACAGAGAGCTGTTGGGGTGCACGTAAACAGTCTGCTGGTGCTTCACAGTCTTGTAGCCTCCTTTGCTCAGTCTGGCCGTGTGATAGAAATATCCTGCAGTCACCGCCTGCAGAAGGGGAGGATAAGAAGCAGTGGAGGGCAGATGGGTTAATAAAGCAGGGATTCCTGGCTCTGCAGGGACGAACAACAAGAAAAATACACAAGCGCTGGGCACAAAAAAGAATGGCGTTAGAATATAACGCAATGAACAAAGTGTGATTAGAATAAAACATTTACTCTTTATTAGAAGATTAATTGCTTATTAGAAGAACTCATGTCTGAAAGGAGATACTGGGGAGCTGCAGCCCAAAACAAACTTCCCATAACTGAGCTCAAGACTGTGACACAAACAGCAGATAACGTCTGTGGAGGGAAGAGAAGAGTCTTCACAAATTTCCATGTTTGCTACCTGCACATTAAGAAGTTACTAACCACACACAACAACCAACCATAAAGACAAGAACTTTGCTGGTTTGATTAACAATCTGAGGCTCTTGGTTAACACCATTATCAGACTCCTTAATCCTGCTATGTCTGCTTTTCCCGCTGTATCTTCCAATGACTGTGGAAAAAGTTCAAATTCAAGTGTGGATCCTTTCAACCTGCCCAAGTGTCTCATCCAGTTATGTTATTTGGGTTTAATCCGATTTCCCCAACAGATCTCGTTGATATAGTTTGTCACATGTGCCCATCTTTCTGCAAACTCGATATTATCCTAAAGAGATTCTACCTGTCATCTTCCAATAGCTTCTCACGGTTATAAAACAATCACAGCCAACATCTTCCGTGTGCTTAAAAAAACCCTCCTGAGTTGCCGGGTTTCAGATAACCACAGGTCCATTCACAGCTGCTCATCAGCTCCTTCAGCGCGTTGAGGAAAACAAATAATAAATTCCAATCCGATTACCAAAGAAACAGCATTACTGAAAATTACCAGTGACAACAGTGAATTTTAGTCCTACTAGACGCTAACCCCACCTTTGAGACCACTGATGATGCAGATTACAGAGCTGAGCCGGCGTCACTGGCACGGCTCTCGTAATGGTTTTCATACTTATTTGAATTCACATGAACAACTGTATGTTCTCATTTACATCCCACGTATCTGGAGTCCCCACAGCTCAACCCTTGGACCAGTTCTGCTTTTTTAATACATGTCACCTACTTGTGAGCTTCAAAAGTATTTCTTACCTTTGCTGTGCTGATGACACTCAGACGTATTTTCTGTATTTAACCTCCTCTCTTACCTCTGAGGAAAACCTGAGGATCTAATGTTCTTTACCAAGTCACTACATCAGCACGCTCACCGCCAATATCAAATCTTCTGCTAAGAGCTTGGTATTACTTTTGACCAGCATTCGAAACGCTGATTTCTCAGAGCTACTGAGACCTGTTCCACACACTTGGTTCAGCCCATCCGCCCGGCTGAATCTGTGCTTGGATCTCCTGATCCTTTCTCCCACTGTGTGTAGCCACAGTTCATAGCTCCACACTTCCATACAAGCGTTACACATGAAGTACTGTGTAACAGTGTTAAATAAGAGTATTAATGATAACAACAATGATAATAAAGACTTTAATAATAACACCAACAACAACAACAACGATAAAGCAGAAGACGTGAGAAGCAGCTGCCACAGCACTGTGGCTGACTCAGCACATTGATGACTGGTTCCTCCAGTCTGTTGATCAGTACAGTACGAGTAATGCACTCCATTTACCTTTGGGCACAAGGCTGAAGAAGGTTAAACTAGGTTATTTTATGAGATACTCTTAAAAACAAGTTTTACAGTCTTATAGTCTTTCAAACTTAAACACATTAAATGATTTTTTTTAAAATAATAAAGCAGTGTTTTATGATCTGAATATTCAGGGGTTAGCTGCCCCATTTAACCTGAACTTTAACTTTTCTTTTATGTCACTTTTTAATTTATTAAGATCTCTGTTGTGTAATTTATCGACCTTTATATGTCTATTCTGCTTATTCAAGCTCTTCTGCTATAGGCTGTGTTTAATGTTTTGGCTGCTCTAGTGCAAGAATTTCCCTACTTTAAGGATAAACAAAGTACACCTTATCTCATCTCATATAGTTCAGCGTGACCAGAATTAGTCTAGTGCTGGTAGCACGGGGCACAGCAAATGAAATAAAAGAGTGAAAGAGCTCCAGGACTACGACATCAGCCATCCTGCCTGAAGGGAAGATTTTAGATGGGTTTAAATAAGAGTGAGGGGACTGTCTACCACTAACTCTAGTCTAAACCTTTTAACTTTCGCCGCTGTTATTTATAATACAATAGTGACCATGATTTATGTCAAACAAAAGGCCTGGGGGCCTGACTTGGTCTGGTAAAGACTCCAGAAAAACATGAACTGTTTTGTTGTACAGCTTTTCCTACTGATAAAGACCTTCCCCATGGCCATTCACAATACACCAAAATAAGGAAGTGATGGATTTCTGTATTTTACACATTTACTTCTTATAATTGAAGCCCAAAGAGTTGTGCTGACTGATATCTTTATCATGTAAAAAACACAAGACTGTTGAAATAGCACTTCTTTGTCTAGTATTAAGATATCGTATTGATGATTGGAGTTTCACTGGCCCGATCCACATAACATCAAAGCGGGCTGCATGTGGCTCATGTAAATGTTTTTGACTTCCTTGATTTAGAGGTTCTAGCACCTAAACTGCCTCAAGCCACTCAGGTCGGCTGACTCTGTTTGTTTGTTTGTTTCTGCTGAGCAGAGGTCAGGGCAGATACGCATTTCAGACCATGCTCTTATCATTGCTTGGATTGAAGTATAATGAGCGAATATGTGAATAGAAAGTTGCTATATGTAGTCTTATGTGGATTTTTTCTGTGATAAAAAACTTTTTTATGCAAGTTTATTGTTGTTATTATATTGTTATTGTACAATTACAACTTTGTAGACAGGTAGAGAAATCAGTTCTCGTTTAGCTGAGATGAAATCCTCTGATGTTACTGGATTGTGTGGAAAAACTCGACTGTTCTGCTTGAAACTAAAGGAAAAGAAGACAATCAGCACTGAGACTGAAACATCAGGGTC